TTTTAGTTTTATGCACAAAAAGCAGAAGACGTTACCAAATGGTGTGAACAAATTAATGAAGTTGCGGGCAAAGTACTGCCAAGTGAGTTGAGAAATAAATCGATATATAAAAAAAGTAGATAGCATATCTAAAAAATGGGTTTTATAAAATCAAAAAATTTACACTGAAATATTCCTAATACTTAACAAAAGATTACGAAAGAAGAAAAAAAGAGATGATAGTATGTTTGTTAAAAAAAGGTCTGAACTCCAGGGATGGTCAAGAGTTGTTGCAAAGTTTATTAATTAGTTCAGTTATATAAACGATATCGGTGCCAACCAGAATCTGAAATGATAAAACAGTCTACATAATTATTTAATTACACTGAAGCACAAATATGTCGCAAAGTACGACAAATCAACTACGATATTGGGAGCAGATAGCAACACATATTTTTAATTATGTCTAAGATATATTTTTTGTGATAAATCCAGCACATAAGCGATCTTCAAGCAAAAGTATAACGGAGTTCAAATTTTCAAATCATTCTTCGATTCTTTATTTGACAAGACGTTGTTTACCGATAAATGTCGAACTTTTAAGTCTAGATTTGAAACTCCATCTCCATAAGGTCCTAAAAGTTTAGGATCCTGAGATGATTTCGGCATGATTTTCTACCAGTGTCATTGATTTTAATAAAGATTAATCGGATTCTTCTAGTTAAAACTAATAGATTACCCAAGTTCACTTTCTTGCTTCATTCACATCGCAAACTCAGCTCGCGCTCCGCAATCGCTAAGAAATAGCTGCTATCGCAAGTAAAAAGGTACAAGTAGCGTGCCTCATTTACTGATATTAGACGGAAAACGCGAATAAACAGGAACTGTAGTAAAATACTTCAGAGTTAAGATCGATTTTTGTATGAGCTCGAAAAAATTGCGCCTTATTTCGCGAGTTTTACAGTGAAACCGTTAAGCGATCCTGCCGCGAGTTTTTAAAGAGACTCACGTCGCGGCATGCGATAAGAAAGTGGACTTGGATAAAGTTACAACTGAAAGATTCGTATAAACTTTCTTGGAAGAAAACTGAACAGTAAATGGAAGCGAATTTTATGTTTTTACTTTCTTCCTAGGTGACATCTACTTGAGTTATTGCGAAGACTCCAGGAATAATTGTTTCTCTAGAGCAGACTCTCGTACTATCGATGAAGAACGATCGATAGCAACCAAATCTACGCTGAGAATCCAAAGATGTCAAGTAATCGAAAACTTACAACATATTCTGTGATAATTCAACACATGAATCGTCTTGAGCGTGCAATACAATGGTCTGTGACGTTAAAGTAGTCTGTATATAGCAGCAAGATAAAAGCTCAGAAACACTAATTCTAAGTGCAGACATGCAGACATAGCATTAAGGGTGAGATGACAATAGAATTTGACATCTAACTTTCTCGAGCATTCATCGCATAATAGCGGTCACATCCTTACATAATGTTATATATGCTCAACGATGGACTAAAAGATCATATAGATATTCATGTGAGATCTGGATTATATATCGATTTATTTCTCAACTCACTTGGCAGTACTTTGCCCGCAACTTCATTAATTTGTTCACACCATTTGGTAACGTCTTCTGCTTTTTGTGCATAAAACTAAAACAAAGAAATGACTAAAATGGATAAGCTAAGTCTTGTTTTCAAAAAAATATCACATGATAACGTTTTGGTTTTTCCATATTTGTCCATGTTAATTCGAATGCATGGATATATTTTGGATCATCAAAGGGTGTGGCTCTTGCACCTGTAATTAAATAAAAAGACAAAAGATATTGTGAAGGTATGTGTAAAATAATTTTTCAATAAAACCATATACCTCTTAACATTAGTGCTTTATGTTGTGCTCTGTCCGTTTCCCTTTTATATAAAAGTAATACTTCATTACTTAATACACAATAATATCGCTCAGTGCGTTTAAAGAAGGAATCTAAAGTAAAATTAATAGGTTTAATGTGACATCAAGAATGTAATGATTTTTAAGAACAAAAGTTTGTAATTTCTTAGTCTTAATGAAAGAGAAGAACATCACTGTACGGTTTAACCTGAATTATGATTATAGACTTTATGAATTTTATAATATTTTTCGAAGTGAGTGGAAGCAAGCTTTTATAATTCCCGATCGAAGAAGTGTTAGCGAGAAATAAAGAAATTGAGAAAGCAAACTGTTAGGAATTAACGGCATAGCTAAAGGCGATAAATTGATTTCTATTTTACCAATTATTTAATCGATGGTTTACTCGTATTTCTATTTAGATATTGGTTAGCAGAGTAGCATAACTTAGAGTGTCTGATACTCACGTCATGTCGCCGTTCATTATACTTACCTAAATTTTTTCGTTGTAAATACCCTTGCAATGCATGGGAATATCTTGACGCTGGTTGCTGATCTACACGAACATAGATGGATTCTGAAATTTTTTGTTTTATCATTACACAAAACTTAGAAAAAAAAACAAAGAGTGTATACCATCATTCATCATTGGTCGTGTACCAAACTCAAGTGATCGTGTTTTCTCTTGATATTTATCTATTTTTGCCAGTTGTTGTTGTTGAGGTATACTGTCGAAACTTCGTCTCAAATTCGACGTTCGTTGATTTAATCGATCATTTTTAGATTGAATGTTGACCACTTCACTTGTCGTCGATGATTCAGTGTTTTGTCGTGATCGACGTGATTCATCTTGATGTGGACCGGTTGAGTCTGCATGATGAATGCTAGTTAGAACTTGTTGAACGGATATCGGTTCTCGATTGTCTGGTTTTTCGTGAATAACGGCCCTATTATATTCTGATTTTTCAGAACTTTGCCAATTGTCTTTAGTGTGACTTGAGAGTGAATCGTTGTCATGAGTAATTAAGTTTTTTAAACGCTGTTCTGGTTTTTGTTTTTGAACTAAAGAAGATATGACACCTTCTTTTTTGTCGTTGCTCAACCCATTATTTTGGCTTTGAACTTTAAAAACTAATGCTGAAAGTAAAATTTTACACTATGAAAACGATCAAGCGTTATGACGAGCTTCTGACCCTACCTTTAACTGATCCAATTTGCTCCTCACTTCCATTATGCAACTTTTCAGATGATTCGTTTCTTGTTAACCATTCTTGTTTAGTGGCTACAGGTGCGGGCTAAAGCAGAATTAGATTTTTTGCGTACTCATGTTTTCATACAGAAAGATGTAACACCTACTTTTTTCGCTGATAATCGACCATGCTGAGTATCGGCTACTGTTGATTTTTTATCGTAGACAGATGATCCAAAATTATCTACTGATGATATTCCTAATCGATGGTCGATTGTTTGGTAATCGTTTTCAACAGATTTTGGATCTATACATAAAATTATGAGCATTTGTGATAGTTAATTAACTGGAGAATCGATACGATGTTGTAGTAAATAGGGCTATTAAAAAAAAATCTAGAATTTCTAACCGGAAACAGGGAAAACTCACAGATTAAAAAAGTACAGCAGTTTTTCAGATTAGGCCTCTACGAAGTGTTACGTGAAGAAAAGATGAATTGATCGGAATATTATTGATACAAACCTTGCAGTTTATTTCTTAAGTCTCTGTCATAAAATGGTGAAGTTTTTTGTGATTCCGTTGTTATCGAAATACTATCATTACTTGATTTATCATGTTGTCCTCGGTCTGCACTACCATAACCATCTCGTTCATTTAATTTATCTCTAAAACTATCACGTTCCGTTTCAATTCTTGATATTTTTGTTTTTAAACGTTCAATAACTTCATCTTGTCGACGAATTATGTATGTTTGTTGATTAATCATTTCTTCTAAATTTTTCAATTTTTGTTCTAATTTTGCATTTACAAGTTGTGATTCAGTTTCCAATTGTTTACCTAATTTTGATAGCATATCCGATAATTTTCTTTCCATAACACCCTGATCTCCATTTCCATTAACACTTACTATTGTACCTAAGGCACTATCACTATCAACAATTGATGAGGCTTGATCACCACCACCTACTAACGGTGTGCTTCGGACTAATGCTGATAATGCAGTGTTTGAATTACTATTAATATTTTGTGTGCTTCGGACTAATGATGACAATCCAGTGTTTGAATTACTATTAATATTTTGTTGACGATGATAACTACTATTAGTGTCATATTTTGAGATGGGCATCGATCTTATATTTTCAATTCGATTTTGATCATTTGTTCCGTTCAAACTAACATTTGTTGCGCTTACATAAATTTGTGGTTGATTATGTTTCGATATTTTATCAACGGATGACGTACTTGGAAGCACGGGTAAATCAACTAATCTAGTCATAACTGGATTATATTCATGACTACTGGAATTATATGTAGGATATCGAACTGCAGTCTCATTTGTGGTGGATGATAGACTATGCGCAGCACCAGCCATTGCCGCTAGAGCGGATGATTCTTAAAGAAAGAAGAAGAAATGATTTAGACAGACATATGATACCAATGCAGTAGTCAGGTAGAATAAGAACACAATCTTATTGTTCTTTCTCTGTTCTTTTTTTTTTCGTTTTCTCTGTATATATATGTGTGTGTGTGTGTATACCTCTTGAATTACCAATATTTGTATCTTCATCTAAATTTTTAGCATAATCTTGTAATGGTGTATACTGATATTTTGCTCGAAATGTGGCGGCTTCATCGTTTTCTTTTTCGAAATTGTATAGATCTCTTCTTCTTGAATAATTTTCATTATCAACCTCGTCGTCGTAGTCATCGTATAGTGGTCTATGCTTTTGAACGTTTAAGCCGTCGACACCATCGGTATAATCTGAACAATCAAATAAAAAAACATTGATAATAACTCTATGATAAAATAGACTGAAAGGAAAGAAAGAGAAGAAAAAAGTTGATTTACCTGTATTTATAGACATGAACATTTCTAACACAAAAGAAAGAACAGTTTGATCAATTATTTATTATAGGCTTCCTATGTTAAACACCTTTATGAGGATTTACGAAGCACACGCTTTTTATCGGCATCATTGTAAAATTCTGAATATAACACAATACATAATCTTCTTTGATCGAACATTGTGAATCCCTAATGCACAGTTAAATACTAAAAATTTAGGGTCATATCTATTTATATACTAACGCCGAAAATGTTTATTGTCACAATTTGTTCTCATTTCAACATGGTGTTCTACAGTCTCATTGAAATTTTAGCTAAATTTTTTTTCCCGCCGGAATATCCCAAACTCAGTTTTACATTAAGAAAAAACGTAGTTTTTACTCAAAGTTGTATGGTTAGGGGTTATGAAAAACGGGTAACTGAACGTTTTCTTCAAGATTTTTAGTATTCTTCGAAGTGTAAACAAAGTCTTTTAAAAATAAAAGCATAATGAGAAAAGATATCAATTGTTTGTATCATAAAAATTTCACGTAGATTCTTGTGATCGTATTAAAATCAGTGATTCTTAAAATACAAAATGGAATTTTGGATCTCAAATTTAATCGATGATGATTCAATTTCTGATGATTTTAATGATGAATGTTTCATGAGAAATGCTCTATTGGTGTGCAATGGTGATGAACACTACATACCCATCATTCTATCTTAGCAGACGTTTATTATTACTCAAAGAGGTGCGTTTAACTCACATTACATTAGTTAATGTTAGTCTCTATTTGTTCACTCTCCTCTTTTCTCTCTATTTGAACTTTATCTTTTTAAAATTAGATAAAATGTGGGCAATGTACATTTTTTTAAATTACAGACTCTTACCCTTTCCATTATACATTTCCGATTCATTTGTTATTGTTCGATATTGTGGTATTTCATCATCATTATGCGAATTATTTCTCAATTGCGTATAACTTTCTAATATACTTGATTGTGCAACATTTTTTGCCAAATTTTCAATCGATGTATTTTTTTCCGATGATGAATATGAATAGCCATTACTGTACGGTTGTTGTTCATGATAATGATTATATTTTTTACTTAAATCATCATAACTTCGGTGCTGTTGTTTTTGTTGAGGTTCATATACGTTTAATTGTTTTTCTTCAAAATATTTCACTGCATCAGTTACCGAATTTGCCGCTGATGCTTTTTTATTATTTGGTGCACCAACAAATTCCTTATAATCTGTATCTGATTCTGGTGATTTTATTTTAATACCCGTACCTAATGTTGTTCGTGGGGATGAATAACGTTGATCATCGTGTTGTTTTCTTAGAGCGTTGGTGGTGGTATTATGACTAGATTTGTATGTGATTGATGTTCTTCCTGCATCTTTTACCGTACAATCCTGACAAGTAAATATTTCATCATCACCATAATAGGATAGATCCGGTTTAACACATCGCCAATGATACGCAGAATGACATAAATTACATATGAGAACTTGTTCAAATGAATAGAGCGGACGAGAACAAAAAGAACATGATTGATCAGATAAAATATTCAACGATGGAGGAGCTATATAATAATCTGATGTTGCTGTAGACATGTTGGTTGTGCCAGTATGATTTAAACGTGCTAAAGATGACATCGATACTGCACCTGAAACAAAAAATTATATTAAAATTTCTGCTATTAATAAGAAAAGCAGAATTTTTTTCGAAAGATGATATTAATCGTTTAAATAGTCTGTAAAAAGTTTTTCATTACTTGAATTTGAATCTTAAAAATGTAATCGGATTTTATTTAAAATTGGATGAGTTTTGAGTTTCTCACCCTCATAGTAATATTTAAATACGACAATAATAACTTTTAAAGACGAATATTTCAGAGTACACTAATAATTAAAAAATGCCAATACTTAGATTTGTGTTGGGTCTTTGAATTCTTTATTAGATACTAAACTTTTGATTAAAAAAAAAGTAAAAAGAATTTTTTTATTTCTTTCTCCCGACCCTACTTTGTTTTTCAACAGTGTGAAAATAATATTTTTCAGAAACACATGTATATAGGACAGAGATATCTCTTTGTGTTTAAGTTTCTTTTATCTTCTACTACTATACTCGTAAAGAAAGTCAAAAAGAACGAAAGAAGTCTTTTCTTTTTATTTATTCATGCTTAATGTTTCAAAATACATGTCTGATATCGAAAACAAATGTTCACTTTTCTTCAGCTCATAACAAACAAATAGGCACAGTTCCTAAAAATAGCCTTTATAATTATGGGATATAAATAAACTTACAACGGATATGGATAGTGTTTTTTGACATTCTTTTTGAATCACACAAAATCTCAAGTAAAGAATATAAAATTTTATATGTATTTTTTAATTCACGGCATTGAGAATAGAAGAAAAATCCAGGATAAATATCTTATCAGTTACTTTTATAAATATGTATATGTCTGTGTGCAAAGAAACGTATTTATTTTACGACATATCGATAATCATGTCCTCTGTCTCGTAATAATCAACAATTTTTTATAGTACAATATAAAAAAAAGGAGCTGTGGTAGTTAAAAAAAAAAGAAATCCTGTTGTTTTATTAGATATAAATTTAGAGAACCATAGAGACGAGAACAATTTATATCCATATTTATTCCTCCCCCACTCTGTTATTTCTCACCTTTATTTTCTTTTTCAGTTGATGATTTGTTGTTCAATATTTTAATGATAAAATTACTTATTGTCTAATGATGGCATGTGTACTAGGTATACACTGATATTTCCCTCGTTTTCTGAATCAAATTTTATTGACTGAAAATTATAAACTATCAAAATTTTTAACGACTCAATTTTCTAAAGCAAACATTTTCTACAAAATGAGACATAGCACAGTCCTTGAGCATTTTTCTTTCTTCTATAATCGTTTCGCGATGAAATGTCCTGAACTGATATCAACCGGTGGAGAGACATTTAGCAAACATTTTTTATCTGAGTACTGATCTAAGATAGAAAATGTTGTTATATCTCATTTTGTAGAGAAATGTTTGCTCTACAAAATTGAATCATCAAAAAAGTATTTAAAAGATTATTTTACAATACTAAGAATTTTATATGAAATAAAAAACGAGAAATTACAATCGGCAAATACCGGTGCATGTCTAATGTGTACCCTCTTTTTTTATATGAAAAAAAATTATAATCTCTCATTATTCTCCTTATCGCCCGCCGTTCAGCACTCACCGATCACTCGTGCTTTTACCAGTGAGCAGTAAATATATGTGTAAGATTTCGGCTAATTATACACCGTGAGAAGAAATTTGGTATGATTCAAGTAAAGATTTATCGCTCATACAGATTTGTATTGAAAAAAAACTCTTGAAGTTAAAAATACAAATTTCTTTTCTACTGGAATTCTTTCTTTCTCTCCTTTTTTTTGCAGTTTGCTTGTATAACGTTGTTAACTTTTCGAGTATTATTATTTTTATTGTTTTGTTGTACAGACGTGTTTGAATCAAAAAGATGAAAAGACGCAAAAAACTACGCACACACACACACACACATACATATAAATCTGATTAATAAATAAATTTTATCAACGATAGAAAGAGAGAGAAAGAGAGATTTTAAATAATTCCATTTATGAAAAGACATTTGTCATTATTAAAAGAACAAAATCAACTCTTTTTATATTTGAATAGATGAATTTATTTATTTTTTAATTGGATAATACTCGACTTAAATATGACTTCGAACAAAAAGAAAACGGGAATTTTAAGAAGAAAAGATAGATAAAATAAACAAACAAACACACATTTGGTCATTTGTTTATTGTAGTAATGTCTTATCGATCAAGTGTGTAACTAATTATAATTATATGCATTTTATACTTTATAAACTTGAAAAAAAATAAAATTTTAACTCAGAATAAAAGAGTAACAAAGTTTTTAAATTTGAAAAAGATTTTAATGAAAAAATTGTAATTTATTTTCTTCAAAATTGTTATACAAATTTGTACAAGTAAAATTATTTTTGTACTTGACTTATTTTTAATGCTAAAGAAAAACTGAATGACTACTTTAATTTTTTTTTTTTTAAGATCAAAATTAAAGTTAATAGATTTAAAGTTTGACTTTTATGCCATTTTAATATTTAATAAAATAAAGGGTTTCTAACACTAATAGATATATCACGTTTATGAAAAGAACAAAATAGATTTAAAGAGTAGAAATTATGCAAACAAATAAACTCTATCAGTAATATAATTTTATAACTATAGATATAAAGAATTTACTTACTTGATTTTTAGAAAGAAATCATTGTTAGCATTGTACGAGACGCTGAACGAGCTTATCACAATTTTACTCTTATATCCGATAACTTACATATTTTGTGTGCTACTGAATAAAAATCAACAGTTAATGACACAAATTATATATTGAACATTTTTTCTTCTCTTTTTTTTTTTTTTTTTCTTCAATATAACAAAAAGAGGTCAATGAATAACGAGTATGAATATCAACAGTGAAATATAATCTAGTACCAAAAATTTTTTCTCAAACGAAATCACACATACATAGTCTTCCTCTCCCTTTCTCTCTTTCTCTGATTTAATTTGAAATACAAAAGCAGCAGTAATAGTAGTCGTAGTGCCCCTCATCTATTTATTTATTCAAGGAAAGAAGAATAAAGGAAAACGAAAAAAAAGTTGGAACATTCGAATTAAGGTGTGTGTGTATGTGCTATACGTGACGTTTGATATACACAAACTTTAGTGATTGTTGCTGTTGTTGTTCTAGTACTTGTAATAGTAACAGCTTTTCTTTTTTTTTTTTTAATCGTGTATATTATAAATGGCACTAAGAAAAAGAAAAAGAAGAACGAAGTTTATGTTCTTTTATTCATTCACAGGTAACACACACAAAATGAGTATATAAACCCATCTTCATTTTTCCTTTCCGTTGGATTGTATTCGAATATAGCTCAAATTAATCGCTGACGATGTGAAGAATTTTAAACATGTACAAAATAAGAAGTAGTCTCAGACAACAAATTTTTATGCCAATCACATACCTGAAATAATTACAGATGAAAACAGTCATTAACCTATCAATTAAAATATAAATCATTAAATTTTTTGAGATCATTGTAGTACAATATGGGTCAAGTTAGAATGACATGAATGGCTAAGTATGATGGGAGATAATACGGGTTAAAGATATGATGTAAAATATGTGCACTAACTATAGAGAATCTTCTACAGGGTGTCCCAAAAGTCCGGCGGGAAAAAAATCTTAATAACTCCGCCATTTCTTAACTAAACTTCAAGGTCGCCTTTTTGTTTGATAGAGAAACATTCCAAGTTTTATTTCATACGATTGGAAATTTTTGTGTAAAAAAGGACCAGTGCGGAAAAATAATAAAACTTACAACATATGTTTTCTGTTAAAGTACTTGTAATAGTGCGTAAAGATTGTTGAGTTTGTCATAATTAAATGGAATCTTTGTCAGAGTCGCATTCCGTCTCATTTTGTAGAACTCAGGTTGCTCTACAATCCCACATATTCAAATGTTTTGTCCAGCTTAAAGTTTTTCCACAAGAAGTTAATTTCTCCATATTAGCATGATCTAGGGATTGCGACTTCTGCAATAGCCTAATACAACCTTTTACAGGCTTTCAAACTATTCCAGTTTATAAGACTACCTTGTTTCTATAGAATTCCACTAGTAATTTTTCCTTTTATTAGTTAACTTTATCTGAAAAATGTTTTTATTACTTTTTTGCACTTTTCC